AAAAAAAAAACTGTTCAGAAATCAGCTGTTGAGCTTTATGGCAACGCTGCCTTGGAGAAGGAGAGCAAGAGGACAAACGTGCAGTGTTTCGCACTTGATTGCGAGGAGACTTTTTTCCCGCGCACATCTGTCTTATGTTATAATCAAAACCAGAGAAGTATCCAAAAAGAGGCTGGATTCTGAATACGTCAGGTGTTACTTGCATTCAGTCATGTGAACTAAACACTAATGAATTATACGGCTGTCACTTTAACTTGTTAATTTAGCCCTCTAAACTTCAAGTGACTTTTTTTTTTGGTATGTATGTGACACCACATGTGCATGTCTGAGAGCATGGGTTGTTTGTGGGATGGACTGCCATGGTTTTTTTCTAAGCGTGGGAAAGAGAGAGAGATTTCTGGGTTTAGCAGAGTAACTTGACGTACTTTTGGGAGGAGAGAGAACGAACGACCAGACCATTCATTTTACAAGCACATACTGTATTTGAGCCTCTTCAAACTCAGCCCACAGGAGCGAGAGGAAAGCACTCTTCCCGCTCCCCCTTCTCTTACTAGGACTGTTTGTAGAGCAGCTGGGTGGAGTAGAGCTCTCTCACACACTCATACTGCACACACACACACTCACAGATGTTCATAGACATGTACCTCTCAACCAGCGAGGAGTCTGATTTGGTGAGTCCCAAATATCTTAAGTTTTGTTTTTGTTTTTTCAGTCGTTTGTGATGTTCGACATCCATTTTCTGCTCTTTTAAACAATGCTTGGCTCCTTTCTGGAAGTTTCTAGGCTAGGATTTTGTGGGTGGGAAAAAAACACATTTCCTGAAAGTTTCCTGAACTTTTTTCCCCCCACAGTTTTGGATTGATGTGTGAGTGTTTTAGAGACTGTACAAGTGTCAGTGTTTGCCTTAGCTTTGTGCTTTTAGACATACTGAACTTTAGGTTTATAAACTACTGTCTGCAAGTATTTGGCATCATAAACCTCAAGGAATAATTAATGGAAAATCCTATAAGGTTTCTGTAATGTCTGGATCACTTTTGTACGTTCTCTTTCTTTGTTAAGAGTAGTTTCATATGAAACATACATAACATTCATACATGTTTCGTCTTGGGTTCATCATGAAGCTATATAAATACTGTACTGTTTCAAGTTTACAATTAATATACATTTGAAAATAAAATGATTAACCGTAAAAGATTTTAGAAGTTGTATTATTTACAGATTTTTCTATAAATAAAATATAAATTATTATCTGCTTGATTCGCAAAGTATTTTAATGAAAAGGTGATTCATCCGTCCTTTTTTTGTGTGCATTTGTAGCATGTGTTTTTCTAGATGGATGGACCCAGAGAATTCTGGGTAAATATTTTTCCAGAGATAGTCATCTCCAGGATAAATAATTCTCTACACAACAAATGAAAATGAAACGAACAATAAATGAGAAAGAGAGATATACAGATAACTTACACTACTAATTACAACCTTTAAACATTTTAAATGCAGGCAAATCACCTAAATAAAAAAATGCCTAAAAGAGTGAGGGTACATAGTGACATTGTCCCAGTGTGTGTGTGAATTAGTCAATATGTGTAATTATCCATATTGATGTCGGGTGTCCTATTTGACAGGGTGGACCATGATCGAATGCATCAGAGTGAATTTGTGTGTTTGTGTGAGTGTGTTTTCATGCTTTCTTTGACCTCTCAGAAAGAAAATCTGTGCTAAATAGCCTGAGGAGCACAGCTGTGACATGTTGACTCCATGTGATTTTGTTTGTGTGTGTGTGTGTGTGTGTGTGTGTGTGTGTGAGATAAAATATTACCAACATAGGATCACTGGAATATTATGCCTCTACATACATTTTGCAAAACTCCAAAAAAGTACCTATACATACAGTTCATTGCAGTTTCCATTTGAAATGAAGACTAGTGCCAGTAAAATGCCAATTTTTATTCCTTCTCACACCTTATGATCACATGGGCAGATGACCAATTAATAGACTTATTTTTGCATGGTTATGGTTGCATATTATGTTATGACCTCAAAATGCTTTTGCCACAGTGTATCATTTGTGAACTAACACATTTTGAGCTTTGCATCACATATCCAGGGACATATTTTTGCCTTTTTTACAAATATAGTAAACTTGCTTGGTAGCGCACCCGGTACAACAATGCACTTGAGATGCGACACGCTCTGGTGCAAGTTCTGTGAAACACAAGTCACATAAAAGAGCTCAAAGACTTGTAGACGCAAGCTGAAATGGCATGGTTGCTCCTGCAAATGCATTTTTATCTCACTTTTGCTTTTGTTATCAGTTTTGGTAATGTTCAGTCGGGTTTAGTGTAGGTGGTACATTATTTTCAAACATGATAGGGCTTTAATCTTTTAGCACCATTTACCAGATAATTTCATTTCTGACCTGCCACAATATGTACAACAAACATAATAAATCATTTATCTGATTAATCTGTTTTAAACGTGTTTAAACTTACTAGACGTTTTACTTTGAAAGTGTCGCAAAACATGCAAGTAGCACCATAATATCATTTTGCAGAAATGTCGCCACAGGCACTTTTTACCAATGAGCCTGAGTTGTAATGTAGAATCTAAACTCAACAGACCATTCAGATCAGTCGCTTAAACATCAAGGAGACAATTCATTTGCTCAGAATTGCCACCAAGTTCTGTAACCACAAGAAATTGCTTTACAAATTGCAGCTCTTTTAAGTCAAGTCTGATGCAGAATTCTATTAGTTTCTGAAAATAGGCCCACGGTAACTGTTGAAAATAAAAAAACAAACAAACAAAAAAACAAGTCTCTGATTAAATGATGGATCATCACAGTGAGATATTTTGGATTAGATGCAAGCTAGTTCGAAGAGATCCACGAGGTCTGACACTGAGTCAGTGCAGGACAGTTGATTGGAAACTTCACAATGTTACTGCATTTTCTGCAGGTCAAAACTTAAACTTTTTAACAGTTTTAAAAATAGTGTTAGTTGTGCAAGTTTTAAACGTCTTGCACTCAATACAACCTGCGTTCAAATCAGATTTATAACTAAGTGCTTATAAGAGTGAAATCCTACAATCATGTGTGTATTAATGTAAGAGAGAGAGAGAGAGAGAGAGATCATTTGTGTGTTGTTTACAGTTCACAAGTGTTTAAAAGTTCCTGGGCAGACACACACACACACAAAAAAAAGAAGTACAGGTTAAGAGTACCTATTATGGAAATAATATACTTTAATAGAATATAATTAAGTGTGACCTGAATGAAATGTTTTGGCACTTAATTGAATGTTAATTGCAATTTAATGAAAATTTATTAGAGTTTAAATGTATAATAAATGCAATTAGCTTAAATTTAGAGTGGTTTTGACCCACTTAAGTAAGACTTAAGTACATCTTTACATATATGTAATGTCATAATTCAATTAATTAAAATATGGTTAAATATGGTAAAATATGGTTATACCCCCACCAAAACATTCATAAGCAAATTAAGCAACCACTGAATGGAACAACACAAAATAGGTATCATTTTAAAGCTTAGAAACTCGGCTTTTAATGAATAATTATTTTGATTAACTCTTAACGAGCGCTGAGTAGTCCATCTAAAATGGTGTGTACCGTGGCATTTATGTCACTTTATTGCTTGCAACTTCCTAAAACATGCTCAGAACGTGGAATACACATTATTATTGAGAGCAGATTCTCCTGATTTAAAAGAACCCAAACTCACTATAATCCATCATTTAAAAGATATTCCTCATAGAGCTGTAACACATAAAACCAGACGGGTGCAAGTGAGGCGCAGCAAAAAATAAATGAACAACTGTACATTTCACGTGGCGTTTCCGTTCATAACTTCACGAAACATGCATAGATCGTGAACATGCAGAAAATTCTCTTGATTAAGAAGAGCCCAAACTCACCATAATCTGTCATTTAGATCTAAAGATATTCCTTAACAAATTCTAAAACATAAAACCCCAAAGGTGCATGTGTTATAACTTTCACATGGTTTTTTATGCTCCGATCGTGGAAAATAGCACGGCATTATTTACAGCAGATTCTCACGATTGAAATGAGTCCAAAATAATCCATTGCATCTTTCGTGTGTAAATAATACCTAAACACATGAATTGAATAAATCAGTTGCAGAGCTTTATTGAACACTAGGCAAGTAAAATGTAAAAGCCAGAATGTTTCTGTCTATTTTATCTTTTTTATAACTTTTTAAAATACAATTAGGTACCATTTTAAAGCTTAGAAATTCAGCTTTCGAATGCATCCAACCATTTTGATCAACTCTTAAAAAAATAATAATCATATTTTTCAAAACCACTGCCTTGATCAACACACAATAGGTGTCATTTGAAAACTTAGTGTCTGAATTTTACAATGCATGTGGCCACTTTAACTTCTAAGAAGTGCTGAGTTATTTGCTGATAAATAGAACAAAATGTTTTCATAATTTATGAAATATGTTTTTTGTGCCATGTATGTCAAAAACATCATACAGCTCAGATAGGCATGTGTCATATGTCAATTGAAAGGTCTCACAGAGTAGAATAAAACAAGCATAACTGTTTAGGGCTTTGACTAAACTTCTGTGTATGTCACTCAGAAACAACAATTTCAAAACTGTCAAGGGCTAAGAAAAAGACTACACTCTAAAAAATACATTCCAAATGCTATAACTTTTGATTACTTCATATCACCAAAAAAATTTATTCACATACAGCTCACATGTTGGGAAACATCACCAAAAAATTTTTTTTCTCCTACCTTATTGATTTCCAGAGATAATGAATGTCAAATAAGACAGATATGTAAAATTTCCCTTGAGCACAGATTTTTTTCTTACACTTTTATCAGCTATTTCTTAGCAGGAGAACATAGAAATGTAAAGACTTTTTTTTTTCTAAAAATACAGAAAGTTTTCTATCAAACGATACATACCTTTTGACTCTCCTTGCTACAGTTTTGGAGTTATGAGTCATAATTTTTGTGTATGTCACTCAGGCAAAAACAAAACTTAAAGGGTTAAAGCAAAACAAAAGATTATTAGAACATAATGATTTAAAATTAAAGTAAAACTTTTAATTTGACATTATTACAAAGTACACTTTTTAAAAGTGCACTTAAGTGTGTTAAGAAACACGGTCATGAAAGTGTCTCTCTTTAAGTCACTTAAGTGGCCTTTTATTATATTAATATTATTATCTGCAAGTAGCTTTTTAAAAAATATACTTTTAAGATTTGTAGTGCACTACAAGTGCACATTCAAAACAATTAAGCGCACTTCTTTTTCACAAGGGCACGTGCTCATTTTGCAGAAACAGATACGCACACACACTCCCGCACACACACACACACACACAAGTAAACGTGCAGCGGGATTAATCACAGAAGACGACACACAGATGGAGCGACTGTGAAGAGCAACGCAGAGGCAGAGAGTGAGGAGAATGGGAGGGGAGGGGACATGAAGTGGATGCAAAACAGAGGACGTACTGGAGAGACTGGAAGACTGGAGAGCGTACAGAAGCCTGGATGCCTGAGGAACACTATGGTTGTGCCAAAAACGGCAAGGACAACGTGTAAAAGAAAGACCGGCAGATAGAGGTGCAAACCACTGCAGCAGAGGTGCTAGCGTCTTTCGCATCGGTGCGCCGGGCTCTAGGGAGCAGGGAAGGGCTCTTCATAGAGGAGCATGGCAGCCTGGTTTGCTGGTGTTGCTGCGGCGGTATGGACTGAATCTCATTCATTATTCTAGAAGAAAACACCGCCACTGTCTACACAGGCCGTAACAGCTCTCATCATCCACTATGCACAGGGATGGAGAGCAAGCACATGGAATTGCGTGCCATCGTCAACAACACAGCAGAATTCTACGTTCCCACAGCAACAGCATTGATAACATTAGCCCGGGCAACAGCTGAGATATTAAGTAGCACTTTATATATTGCAGTTTTAGTGACAGCTACAGGAAAAACTGTGTTTTCTTTTAACTCATTTTCATTGTTAATACCTGCAGCTCTCAGGTTTTAAGTATAATGTTTGCATATCAATTGGTATACACTATTTGCGCGTGCGAGCTAGTGGAAATTGACAGGATATGCTAGTATGTTGCTGAGTATCTTACTTGTGATTTAATCTTTATATATTCTTGAATGATGGATATTAAACCCACATTTCACTTGTGACCTTGCTTGACATTAGGTGACCGTGATTTCATGTAAACATAGTGTCTATCAAGTGTGTTAAGGTTTAATTTCTAGATATTTTCTTGATTCTCTCTACAGCCTTTCATGTGCAGGAAATTACATACAAAGATGCACACATTTGAATGTATTTATGTGTTATAATTACTAAAAAGAAGTGCACTTAATTCTATTGATCGTGCACTTGTAGTGTACTTCAAATCTTTTTTAAAAACTGCATTTGCACATAATACAAAATACTGAAATAAAAGGCCACTTCAGTGTACTAAAAGAGAGACACTTTCATGACTGTTTCACACTTAAGTACACTTTTAAAAAGTGTACTTGGCAATAATGTCAAATTAAAAGTTTTGGGTTACACTTTATTTTAAGGTGTGCTTGTTACAGTGCAACTATGCGTTTAAGTACGGAGTAATATTAATTAACTACATGTACTTATTATAAGGTTAGGGCTATGATTAGGGTTTGGTTTAGGGTTACTTGCATGTAATTATGCATAATTAATTGTTATTATAATAGTAAATACATGTAACGTGTAACAAGGACACCTTAAAATAAAGTTTTACCAAGTTTTGCTTTAAAGTGCATTTTAAATCATTATGTTTTAATCGTTTCGTCATGCTTTATAGAAGTGCACTCATTTTGATGTGTTGACTGACATACTGAAGCACACGTAAAGTGCTTGATTATGATTTTAACTGTAGTGTGTTATTCAAAAGTGAATATATTTTAAATGTACTAAATTGCAACTTCATCATTACAAATCACAAATATATTTAAATATATGACATATAAATAGATGACACACACATTTCACTAGAAATTCAAGTGTCCCGAAAACATTACATTCAGTTTGCACGTAAGTATATACAGTATATTTTTAAAGTATTTTATTTTTGTAATAAGTACCCTTTTTACAAGTATGTTAAAGAGTACTTTTTTGATATATGGTTACAACAAATAAAATAATTTCAACAACTAATTGTATTTTTTTATCAATACATTTAAATTGAATGTCTTGTATGTGTGTGTGCTGTAATTGATCAGGTGCTAGAAGGTGATTTATTTTCTACAATCCATCCTTTTCCATCCCAAAAAGTATCAGTGGTTTTGGACTTTATACTGACACTGACTGCACTGGGTGCATGTAGTTTGTTTACTTGTTTATGTTTTGTTTTGTTTCTTTTCATCCATATTTTCTTTGTCTTACTATACATCGATAATGGAGATTCCTGGATTCAGTCTCGAAGTTTTTGTCTGCTACTGGTGTTTGGTTTTAGTCAGTTAGTTTTAGTCAGTCAGTTATCTAAAGTCAGTTATGGTTTGAAATAAGGCACATTTGCGGTACTCCGGTTCTGTTTTACTATTATCCATTTAAATTTCAAAGTACTTTATTATTAGCTGTGTCTTAGGGCCGTTGCTAAGTTCTGTACGCTGCGGTATAACTGAGTCCTCAGTGTAGAAACGAGATGATGGTCTGTTGGGACAGTTCCCATTCGCTCCAATAGCACAAGAAAAATCCAAAATAGCGTTTCTGTGATTTCCAGAAGAGGAACAAATGTCGAGAGATTGATTACACTGGTCAGAAAACAGAAAGATTTAACATTTGCCGAGAAACACACTAGTTTTCTGAAATGTAATGCCAAGTTCATTTAAAGGGACAGTTCACCTAAAAATCTAAATTATCATAATTTCCTCACACTCATCGTGTCGTTCCAAAGACTTTTTTCTTCTTTAAATAGCTTAAAAGAAGATATTTTGAGAAATGTTTTAGTGATTTTTTTGTTTGGTCACACTTTAGTTTGGGGACCAATTCTCACTATTAACTAACTAATAACTACAACTTTTGACTCGATAAACTCCTAATTTGCTGCTTATTAATAGTTAGTAGGTAGTTGTTAAGTTTAGGAATGGGGTAGGGTTAAGGGATGTAAAATATGGTCATGCAGAATAATGCATTAATATGTGCTTCATAAGTACTAATAAACAGCCAATATACACTGTAAAAAAATTACCGTGAATTTCACGGTAAATGACTGTAAAAATGCTACAGTAAAAACCTGTTAAATGGTTAACGGTAAATTCCCCTACTATATACGGTGAAAAACTGTATTGGACATTAATTTTACGGCAGTATACCGTTTTTGGAAGTGTGACATGCATGCTAATTAGCAATTAGTTAATAGTGAGAACTGGTCCCTAAAGTGTTACCATTTGTTGGGAATCAAGCTGTAAATGGCTTACTCTGTCTCTGCTTATTGAAACAGGAGAAACTATTCTGCCACGCACAAATTACGCACACCACCTTTAAATAGAGTAGCTGAATATTTATCTTGAGCAAATGAGTAAATGTCATGGTAGACAATCAAATAGTAACCATGTGTCGTAATCCATGAAAGTAATGAAGTAAATGCACACATAGAAATACAAAAAAAATCTCTCTGCTTTTTCCACAGGGTTCAGCGGACTCATACACTAGTCGGCCGTCTGACTCGGATGTGTCTCTGGAGGAAGATAAAGAGACCTTACGCAGAGAAGCTGAGAGACAGGCACAGGCTCAGCTCGAAAAGGCCAAGGTATTGCTGCATGTTTTACTCACTATAACTGAATAATTGGCAGTTTGACAAGGGTCTGTTTTTCTGTCTAATCGTGTGTGTCTGTTCAAAATAGCATACTACCATACTACTCATGCTATCTCTTTAGTATGCAGTAGTGGCAAACCGATATATCACCAAGGCCGATATTCCTATAAAATCTTACTTTATAAATCTTACTATAAAAATTCATAACTGTTATTCTTTCTTTATAAATCATGCACTAAATTATTAAAACTTAAATTACACACACAGCACCTTTAGGGTTTGTCTGGATATTGAATGTCATTTTATTTTAAGGCTTAATTTGTAGCTGGATGCTTTTTTAGACACTTTCTTTGAGGCAAACCAATGCTGTTCGGAGGTGATATATGAAATCTCACCCTATTAGTCTTTCAAATCTATTTTTAATCTTGTTTTTGTCACACTCTCCTTCACCTCTAGGGGTGATAGCTATTTTTAGTGTTTGACATCAATCAGATTTTATAATTTATTTATTGAATGCACACATAAATATTGATAACAAAGCCAGATGGTCTGCAGTGAGCAGAGAGAAGTCAAATATTCTTCACTGACCATGTTTCTTGAAATATCTATTCTCTCTCACACACATTTAAAGAGTACTTAAGAGTCTCACACACTACTTAAACTTAAAGAGTTATTTCTACTTGACTTAAAATCTCAAATCTAGTTTTATTGGTATAAATGAATGTATATAGGTTGGTTCAGTGGTGTTAAATCATATTTTTTTATTTAAGTACAACCAGTTCATTTACCATTTTTAGCTTACCACTATTTGCAGTTTCACAAACTGAACACTTTTGAAAGCGCCTCAAAAGAATAGAGAGAAGCAGGAGTCCCTATTTTCTTTCACATTTTCTTTCAATGTTCAGTTTTTCTTTCCTAAGAGTGTAAGAATCACATCATTTCACTCAAAGATTTTGCATAAACACTATTAAATGAAGCAAAGCAGCTGTCAGATGTGCGTGCTTGTGTTTTTGGTGAATGTGAATGAAACTGTAGATGCTGATTAGTCTGAACAGGCATTTACATAAAAGGTTACAATCACTATTTCTGATCAATACTGCATATGGAAAGTCGAGTTACATAAGAGGCAGACAGTGGCTGTGAAAGCAAAACAAGGGTATAAAAACTGTTCAATATATAAAAAAATATATTATTTAAAGCTCCTATAATAAATATTACATATCACAATAATGCAGTGCATAGTTTTGCATATCTTTTTATTTCAGTAGAAAATAAAGGTAGACAGACTAAGCTAAAGAAAGGTAAGATAAAGCAGCATTGTCTTGACAGATCATGGAGAGTCAGGCTTGCGTGTGATCAACCCACCATCCCCATTACCTTTAGAGGACACTATGTCCTCTGTTTGACACACCCATAATTCATTGCGTGTGCAGACCGTCATGTGGATGAGTCCATACTGATTTTGCCCTTGTGTATCAAACACTCATGTTCCTGCTTTTTTTTGTATTTCTGAAAACATTGAAAAAATGTACTGCTCATGACTGCTTTTCCACAGAATTTTTAAAAGAATACCTTGGCAGGTTTTTCTTCCATATAATGAAAGTGGATGAAATGGGTCTGTCAAGGTTTTGTACCCATGGGAACAGGGTAGAAAATTAACAGTATCACCATATTTCCCCAGTTGATTGATTACATTAAGAATTGCAAATAGTTTTCTGGGATGCTATGTTTAAGTATGCAAATAAGGCATTATCTAATTAAATATGCACTAATTTGCATACACTTCCAGAACATAACTATGACACTGAATAAAGCCAGGGTTAAAATGCTTGTTTCATTTTGTTGGCATTTGTTGTCAGAGCTAAAGGTTTTTATTTTTGAGGATCTTTGATATTTCTTATCACTCCATAAATCAGTAAAATACTGTCAACCCCAAGAAAAAACACCAAGTTTTTAGGAATAAAATGTTGTATAAAATCAGGCAAATTATATATGAACAAAACCCTCAGTAAAAATCCTCAGAATAGAAATGGAAATAAAACTGTCTGGTGTATGTAAGTGCAATGGAAAAATATGTATAGTAATTGAAATCTACAGACACAAATAGATCATGCAATACTTAAAAGTGTATTTTGGATGTTTTCTTTCACGAATCTGTCACTATGCATGAAACAATTTTTTGCCTGTAGTGTCTTGCCTTAAATGACAAAAAAGCAACATAAAAGTTACAGCTTTGGGTTTAAATCTGCTAAACCCAAACAATAGTTTTGTCTGGGGACAAGATTGAAATTTAGCTTGTTTTTTAATTGCAATTCTGTCATAGTAATTTAATTATCCTCATGTCATTCCAAATCTGTATGCATATCTTTTGCACCCTACTGTGGACACTGATGCATTTTTCAAAATATCTTCATTTGTGTTCCACAGGTTTGTTGTTGAATTATTTTTGTTCTACTATTCATTAATATTTCATACTTGTACTCACTCTGTGTTCTTCTACACAGTCTAAACCAGTGGCGTTTGCAGTACGTACTAATGTTGGCTACAGTGCTTCTCTTGAAGACGACGTCCCTGTGCCTGGGATGGGAATCTCATTTGAGTCTAAAGATTTCCTTCATGTTAAAGAAGTGTGTATTTACACATGTATCCATATATACAGAAGAAAAAAAATGTTTATTACAGTTAAAATCAGTTGTAGTGTTTTTAAAGACCTAAACAAAAGGAACACTGTATGTCCATATCACAACAAACACAACACACAATACTCAAAATACAGCCTGCATCACAGATTCTTTAGTCTTGCACACATGTATAACAAGGCCTTGTAATGCAGTTTATTGCAAACAAAGTATATCTGCAAATTTAAAATACTCAAGATGAGTTTTTATTGTACTTAATATTTTAAGATCATTTATGGCCTTGAATATTTACTTTGTAAGGTTATTTTTACTTTGTAAGGTATTCTAATACCTCCACCATGGGTGACTGTTTGTGTGTTTAATGACAGAAATTTAATAATGACTGGTGGATTGGTCGCTTGGTGAAAGAAGGGTGTGAAATCGGCTTCATCCCAAGTCCAGTGAAGCTTGAAAGCATTCGCACCCACCAGGAGCAACGTGCAAAACAAGGAAAATTTTACTCAAGGTATCCACAAATGCACAACAAGGTTCTTCACTAAACAAAATACAGAAAATATAGTTTTAATTTGACCCCTTTCAACAAAAATAGACTTAGACTGCATTTCCCAAAACCATCCCTTGTGAAAAAGAAGTGCACTTAATTGTATTGAATGTGCACTTGTAGTGTACTTCAAATATTAAAAGTGTATTTAAAAAAAAAAAAAAAATGTACTTGCAGATAATATATTAATGAAATAAAAGACCACTTAAGTGTGCTTTAAGAGAGACACTTTCATGACCATATCTTAACACACTTAAGTACACTTTTAAAAAGTGCACTTTGTCACTATGTCAAATCCAAAGTTTATTTTAAATTTCATAGCATAAATTTCAAAATAACAATAAAATTACATAAAGATGTACTTAAGTCCTACATAAGTGGGTCAAAAAAGCACTCTAAGGTTAATTTAGTGTCTGAAAACTTTACATTCAGTTCACACTAATGTATATTATTTTATAGTATATTATTTCCATAACAAGTACTCTTTAAAATTATGCTACTGTACTTTTTTCACAAGGGATCTGAAGCCTAAGTAGATTGTAGAGATGATTGGTGCCAGTGGTCTCTACAATGTACTCAGGCTTACAATGCTTTTAATCTTAACTTTTGCTATGGCTTGCTGGGGGGAAAAAACACCTTGTAATATTTTAATCTGGTCATTTAAATGGGTCACCCACTGAACCCGCTCAGGTCGTCAAGGCTGTTTTTTCTTCAGAAGAGCACTTTTAAATACATACAACCTTTACACCGTTCTTTGTTGTTAAGGATTATATGTTGTTCTTTTTTTCACAGTAAATTAGGGGCAAACTCTTTATCTAGTTTAGGAGACGTGGTTTCAAACTCACGTAAATCAACCCCTCCATCCTCAGGTACGTTAGCGTCACTGGGTGTCATTTTAGAACTCAATTATATATTTTTATTTACATTATTCAGCAACAACTTTTATTCTGAAATACTTGGTGTATTATATTATATATGTCACATATTATTATATTATTATATATGTAACATTATATTGTATTAACAGGATTCACTTTGGGAATTTTATACTTAAAGAGAGACACTTTCATGAATATGTTTCTTAACACACTTAAGTACACTTTCAAAAAGTGCACTTTGTAATAATGTCAAATTAAAAGTTTTACTTTAAAATATATTTAAAACTTTTTAATAATCTTTTGTCATAGTTTAAAGAAGTACACTTATTTTGATGTGTTGACTAACATACTTAAGCACATGAAAAGTACTTGATGATAATATTAACTGTAGTGTGTTATTCAACATTACATTTAAAGTTAATATATTGTACAACAAATATATTTAAATACATGACATTCAAGTTTCAACAGAAATTACAAATAAAAATGTATATTTTAGTTGCTTGTCAGCAGTCCTTTAACCATATTTCATAGACAATAGAATTATGAAATTACATATAAAGATGTACTTAAGCCTTACTTAAGTGAGTCAAAAAAGCTCTAAAGTTTATCTAGCTGAATCAATTATTAATTTAAACTGTAATACAATTTCATTTAATTGCAATTAACATGCAATTAAGTGTCCAAAAACATTACATTCAGTTCATGCTTAAGTATATTAGCACTTAAGTACTCTTTTAAGTATGCTAAAGTGTACTTCTTTTTCACAAGGCCATGTTTTTACTGAAATGCTGTGTGCTTCAGTGCATAACTGTAATTTATGATTGATGTGCATTGTGTATCTTTACGTTGTGTATGAATTCCCCGTGTGTTTTGCTGAGGCTCATATGTACATGTGTGCATTTATATATGTGTGTGTAGCTGTGGACATAGACGCTGCAGGGTTAGATCCGGAGGAGAGTGACCCTCCTCTCCATCAGCGTTCACCCAAAGCCAGCCCAAACACAGTAATATCCCCTTTAGCCCGTGAGAAACGAATGCCTTTCTTTAAGAAGGTAAAGCATGCCGATGGACGCTCCCTCGCTCTGCATCTGTCCGTCACAGCAGCATCACGCAGAGCCTGTTTCGCTTGTCACCGTCCGAATGCCCATGCCAGCTTACTCCACTCACTCTTTCCCTTCTCTCTCCCTGTCTTGTCTTTGTTCCTCTGTATCCCAATCTTTCACACTCCCATGGTCTTTTCTTTTTGTCTGTTCCCCTTCCTCCTTTCCTCAGCTAAGCAGAGGCATAAGTCGGTAAGTCAGGACTCACAGAGAGCCGTGTGGTCAATGGCCGCTCATTCCTGTTATGCAGTACTTACAGTTTATTAATTATAGCTTATTGTTATTTAGACAATGGCAACATAGTAGGAATGATCGCATGGCCACTACTTAGTAAACACTTCACTGTGCGGTTCTCCCTTCTGACATTTCTCTGTTATACAGCCTTAAATTTGCCTGTTTGTGTGTGCATGTTTAACCAAAAAATGATTGTTTGTACAATTACATACAAAATAGTAAATAATAATTTTCTAATTTGCTTAACACAGTGCTGCTATAAAAGCCTGATATTAACAAATCATTTTAGTAAACCTCCCAACACTATTTAAATTGGGTTTTTATTTGGGTGTCAAACTTAATTTGAGCTCAGGCAAACTAATGCATTAGTTAACTATTGAAATGCATTCAACATCGTCCTTAACCTGCAAATGCAAAGAACATTTTTTACTTAACTCTGAAATAATTAACAATAGAGCAATGTAAGAACTGGACATTCTCAGCCTGCTGACATTAAATTTGACAGTCTAGATCTTAATATGGATAATAATATTTTTCCCCTCTTTTATCTCTCCTAGCTGTGACTGTGAAGTGTGTGTTCTGTGCGCGCACTGACGAAGTTAATGGTGTGTGTTTTGTGCTGCTCTACAGACAGAGCATGTTCCTCCATATGACGTGGTGCCGTCTATGAGACCGGTGGTGCTGGTGGGACCGTCGCTCAAGGGCTACGAGGTCAGCTGCTGCAAAACGCATTGTGGCTTCATAGAGAAGATATTAAAGGGTTAATTCACCCAAAAAATTACAAGTGGAATTATCTACTCTACCCTTATGCCACTCAAACCCCCCCAAGCTGCTCTTTTCCATACAATTAAACATACTGACAAAACATTGCAAACATAAGTTGTTTAAGGGAAAGCACTAAAAATAAACACCATGTCAATCACTGGAAAAAAAAATGGTGTAGAAACAATTTTCACTCAGAAATCGCTAGTAAATTTAACAAATAATTACAAAGAAACAGCAACACTGAATTCAATGGGAAATTTTCAAGTAATTGTAAAATGTAATCTGTATAATCTGTTTTATTCACAACTTTGAAAAATCACTTTTTACAGTGTAGTTAATAAATAACATGTCCACACACTTTTGTTGTATGTTAGTACGAAGTATAAGGAAAAAAGGGTATATTTTAGATGCTATACGTCATCATTCATTTGAAGCTTTTCACCATATTTAATCACCTCTTTAGCTTTTAGCAGCATTGCATGGATAATATTCTTGTTACAGGAGAATAGTGTTAAATGGTTTTAACCTGACATTTGAATGCTTGAAATAAAATGCAAATTACCCACATTATTTGTTTATTTGGCGCAGCAGAATTAATGCACAACAAAGTGGGATGTGCAAAAGTTAAAACATCTGTAAATTAAGGTACAAAAAAATAACATAACTAAAAATGTATGATTTAAATAGAGCCTACACATTCAACACAACTCAAAAACATTAAAAATAAGAAATACATTTAAATATAAGTAGACACATTCATCTTAGAAAACAGATCTTTGTAGATACAGTAGGAAAATGTGATAAATGTGGTAAATGCACAGATTAATAATGTTATTAATATAATATGTTCATTCTGTGTGACTTTTTTTTTTTTTTTTAAACCGGGACATTTTGCTACATATGTAATAAATAATGACAAATGTCAACTGATAAAAATTATACGGGCGTCCAGTGACAAAAAGTTGAGTTGGTAAAGACTGGACTTTAATTTTTGCGTAAACCTTCTCTTTAAATGTCATAAATGATACATTTTTAGACATGCACAGTATTTGAGTGCTTATATTCTGACTAAACATTTTCCCAGTCTTACATGAATCCTTATTACTTCACATTTACACTTAACTGTAAAGCATTTAGACTTATGTTGACTCTATGAATGTTAAGCAAAAAAAACACAAGGCTAATGTAAAAAAAAAGGGACAAAAGCCTGACATGATGCTTTTATGTGTGTAAACAGGTAACAGATATGATGCAGAAAGCGCTGTTTGACTTTCTGAAGCACCGCTTTGAGGGGAGGTGAGTCTTTAAGAGGTTCTCTTCCTCCTTGAGCCTCCGTTGGGATAGTTTATATGTATGTGTGTGTGTGTGTGTGTGTGTGTGTGTGTGTGTGTGTGTGTCACGTGAGTGTTTGAGGTTACTTTAAATAGTCACATCTCATTGCCTTAATTGGACATGCTGGTCCATAAGCACACAAATGGTTTTAACCTGACATTTGAATGCTTGAAATAAAATGCAAATTACCCACATTATTTGTTTATTTGGCGCAGCAGAATTAATGCACAACAAAGTGGGATGTGCAAAAGTTAAAACATCTGTAAATTAAGGTACAAAAAAATAACATAACTAAAAATGTATGATTTAAATAGAGCCTACACATTCAACACAACTCAAAAACATTAAAAATAAGAAATACATTTAAATATAAGTAGACACATTCATCTTAGAAAACAGATCTTTGTAGATACAGTAGGAAAATGTGATAAATGTGGTAAATGCACAGATTAATAATGTTATTAATATAATATGTTCATTCTGTGTGACTTTTTTTTTTTTTTTTAAACCGGGACATTTTGCTACATATGTAATAAATAATGACAAATGTCAACTGATAAAAATTATACGGGCGTCCAGTGACAAAAAGTTGAGTTGGTAAAGACTGGACTTTAATTTTTGCGTAAACTTTCTCTTTAAATGTTATAAATGACACATTTTTAGACATGCACAGTATTTGAGTGCTTATATTCTGACTAACACGTGAGTGTTTGAGGCTACTTTAAATAGTCACATCTCATTGCCTTAATTGGCCATGCTGGTCCATAAGCACACAGCCGGGTCACATGCCTGCAGCTTCCCTTGACTGCAGTTTCCCGAACATGACTGCACAGGATTTACAGTATGACAGTTAAAACTATATTTATCTTTTCGCTGAATCTGAATGAAATCTGATTTTTTTTTTTATATATATATATAAACTTGGTCCTGGCCAAATTCATATGTGGTTTGAAATCCAACTGAAATGCATTTCAGTTTGATGTTTTTTCATGTATGTTACGTCAAGTACAATGGATGACGTAACATACATTAATAATTTCAGTTTTCTTATAGTATCTCCTAGGCATATAAAAGGAAAAGTCAGTCAGAAGACATTGTCACACTTTTTATTAGATGGCCTTACTACTACAGTATGTACACTACAGCTCAAAAGTGTGGGATCAGTAAGATTTTTTTTAGGTTTATGAAAGTCTCTTCTGCTCACAAAGGCTGCATTTATTTGATCAAAAATACAGTGGAAATTCTGTAATATTATTACAATTGAAAATAACTTTCTATGTGATTATATTGTGAAGTGTAATTTATTTCTGAAAACTTCATATTTTTGTGGAAACCATCATACTTTTTATTTTTCAGGATTCTTTGATGAAGTTCAAAAGAGCTGCATTTATTTTAAAGAGAAATCTTTTGTAACATTATAAATGTCTTTACTGTCACTTTTGATCAGTTTAATGCATCTTTGATGAATAAATAACTTTTAATAAATAATTATATATTTTTTTTACTTGAATGGTAGTGCATCGTGGTTTCCACAAAAATATGAAGCAGCACAACTGTTTTTAACATCGATAATAAATATTTAAAATATTTAAATATAAAATTTGAATATCTAATATTGAAATATACTTATGTACATACATGTTGGTGCATTGCAGTTACATTTAAAGTACTTGCATTTAATTAAGATTTGCAGTTACACTGTGAACGCTCCTTGTTTTGTGTAATTCAGGATCTCGATCACGAGGGTGGCTGCTGATATTTCTCTGGCCAAGCGCTCTGTGCTCAACAACCCCAGTAAACATGCCATCATCGAGCGCTCGAACACACGCTCCAACTTAGGTGAGAGAAAGAGTTTGATGGTTTGGTGTGAATGACTGAAAAAGGAAATCTTATCTAAAATGATGAGATTTACTAAATAATTTTCTTTTTTGCATTCAACATTTTTTTGCATTCTTGCTTACATTAATTTTATTCTCTTATACAGCCTTTATTATTGAATTTTCCTTTCTACAGCATCCAGAGCACGACATATGCACACTCTCACACAAGAGAAGATATTTGTTATAGTATGTTCTCAAATCTGGAAATGATTTTAAACAGTGCAGAGAAATGTTTAGTTTAAAGGGGTCATATGATGCGATTTCAAGTTTTCCTTTCTCTTTGGAGTGTTACGTTAAGTTGTATTTACAACACTGTTCCAGAACAGTTCAACCCAAATATTCAGATGTTTGCAGCGCATTTTATGGAGGCCTGTTTCCTGGGAAAGTAGCCTACAATGCCGTCTACACACAAAGGCTGTTTCTATAAAGTGGGGCAGTTCCAACTTTGCAAGGACAGTCTGGTGCTTCTGACTCACAGTCTGTAAGTACATTTACATATTTAAAGAATTTGCCAATGATGATTCAAACGCGAGTTTTGAGCAGTGTAGAGTAGCGCTTGTTGTTTGACATTTCTCCAATCACAAATGCAGACATAGTTTTATGTGGAAAATAATGTGTTTTTTTAATCTTAAACCGCATAAACACATTGCATTACACCAAATACACAAAATAATGTTTCTTTTTAGCAACATCATATGACCCCTTTAAGCAGTTAAATTTTCTGTCATTCTGATCTTATAAATGTCATGAATATCACAAATATCAGCATTGCAACAAAAAAATTTTCAAATAATAAGTACAATAAGTTTATTTTTTGCTTATTCCAGATTATTATAAACTGTGTATCAATCAAATGCTTATTATGGAATTCAATGCAGGCAAAATACTACACTAAAATACTCTTTTTGTTTTACTGAGTTGGTAAATTGGTAAAATTGACTGGTAAATTTGTCTCACTCATGAATTAGTGGTTTCAATCAATACAACAGCTCAGTCACTTACACAATCGGTCATAATGGTTCTTGTCTGCAAGTCAAAAAGATCTTAAATCTTAATTTGCCTGATAAAAATAAAATTGAAATGAAACAAAGATTCACAAGAGAGTGTTGGTTGTACATTAAATAAAGAAAAAAAAAACATTAAAATACGTCACCTTATTGTTTTTGTTAGGAATGATTACTGAAATGTAGCGTTTCAACAAATGTACTAAAGTAATTATTAATGGAATCATGGAACTTTAAGGAAATTGTAATTATTGAATCAGAAAGAGAACCAGAGTTGTTTTGATTCCTTATTTCCTTCCATAATTGTGTGGCTTTAAAGCGGTTTCTGTTTTGTTGAATTCGTTATTTCACCCCATTATTCTTTCTGAATTGTAATTGTAGCTTAATTGCTTCCAGTGGTTTGGTTCTCTATTATCTCAGCATACTCTGATTGTGTATGTGTGTGTTTTTATAGCGGAGGTTCAGAGTGAGATCGAGAGGATCTTTGAACTGGCTCGCACGCTGCAGCTGGTGGTTCTTGACGCCGACACGATAAACCACCCGACCCAACTGGGAAAAACGTCTCTTGCACCTATTATTGTCTACATCAAGATCACCTCTCCAACGGTACACACACATATACTTTAAAAGAATATACTTAGTCATATACTTAAGTCCTAAACTTAAGTCATACTTAAGTGGGTCAAAAAAAGCACACTTAAGTACAATTTTATTTTTATTTTTATTCTATTGTCTATGAAATATGGTTAAAGTACTACTGAATGTGCTGACAAGCATTTATGGTACAGTAAAATATACTTTAATGTAATTTAAGTTGAAACTTCAGTATGTCATGTATTTAAATGTATTTGTAATTACGAATTTGTAATAATGGAGTTGCAAATGCATTCACTTTATATCATCAAATAAAACACTATAGATCAAATTATAATCAAGTACTTTGCATGTGCTTTAGTATGTTAGTCAACACATCAAAATAAGTGTACTTCTTTAAAACATGACAAAAGATTATTAAAACAATGATTTAAATGCACTTTAAAGTAAAGCTTTTAACAAAGTGCACTTTTGCTAAATCAGTCTACTTAGGCTTCAGATCCCTTGTGAAAAGAAGTACACTAGCATACTTTTAAAAAGTGTACTTTTTATGGAAATAATATACTTTATACTTAAGTGTGGACTGAATATCATGTTTTCAGACACTTAATGGCATGTTAATGACAATTAAATAAACTTGAGTGCTTTTTTGACCCACTTAAGAAGGACTTAAGTACATCTTTATATGTAGTTTTTTGTTATTATGTTGTCTTTAAAATATAAAACGTATATATTAAACTTTTGATTTGACATTACAAAGTGCACGTTTTAAAAGTGTATTTAAGTTTTTTTAAAAAGTGTTAAGAAACAGTCGTGAAAATCTCTCTTAAAGTACACTTAAGTGGCCTTTTATTTCATTACAGTTTTTTTTTTAAATACAATTAATCCAATACAATTAAGCAAATTTTTTCACCATGGTCCCTCTGATTGTCTATTAGATTGTCTTTCTTCAACACTGATATTTTGCTGGGATATTGTTTCTGGTGTGTCCGTCTTTCAGGTTTTGCAGCGATTAATAAAGTCTAGAGGAAAGTCTCAGGCAAAACATCTCAATGTGCAGATGGTGGCAGCAGACAAACTTGCCCAGTGCCCTTCAGTGAGTTAACTGAATAATTACTTGAGATAAACCACACTATCACCCTTTCTTTGCTCTCTAACAGTTCATTTCCCTCTTCACACGCTCGTTTGTTCTCTATCCAGGAGATTTTCGACATCATTCTTGATGAGAATCAGCTGGAAGACGCATGTGAGCACATGGCTGATTATCTGGAGGCTTACTGGAAATCCACGCATCCTCCCAGCATCCCTCAGACAAACCCTCTGCTAGAGAAACTCACCGCAATGGCTGCAGCCGCAGTCGCCTGCAAGGACTCACTGACTAATCCACAAACAAAGGTGCCTATGAAACTTAGATTAGCAAACAAAAAGAGAGAGGAGGAGTGCCGGAAAGAAACCATCAGTTTTCAGTCGAGAGAAAAAAGCAAATGCTACAGCCTAAAAGGCACACTTTACATTACAGAGTCCTGTGTCATGCAGCTGTAATTATTGTTGCTTGCTTGCTAAGACACATTCTGTATGGGCAAACATTCAGAAAGCATAGGAATCTAGTCGCATTACTACAGGGTTTCCTAATGAAGGGTATTGAATTAAAGTTCCCTGATTAATAAGAAATGCACTTAATTGTATTGAATGTACACCTGTAGTGTACTTCAAATCTTAAAAGTATTTGAAAAAAACTATACTTGCAGATAATATATTATTCATGAAAGGCCATTTAAGTGTACTTAAAGACACTTTCATGTTAAAAAGTGCATTTGAGAAAAAAAGTACAATTTAAAATTTGTCAAATTAAAAGGTTTCTTATTAAGTACACTTTAAATCGTTATATTTTAATAATCGTGTCGTGCTTTAAAGAAGTACTCTTATTTTGATGTTGACAACTAAAGCACATGTAAAGCACTTGATAATAATTTGAACTGTACTGTTATTCACTATTACATTTATAGTTAATATATTTTAAATACACTAAATTGCAACTTCGTTGTAAATGTGTAATTAGGCATATTTAAATAAATGGCATACAAGTTTAAATAAAAATGACGTTAAAAATATATTTTAGTTTATCATAAATGCTTGTCAGTACATTCAGCGGTACTTTAACCATATTTCAAAGATAATAGAAGCAATTATGAAATTACATATAAAGATGTACTTAAGTCCTACTTAAGTGGGCCCGAAAAGGCACTTTAAAGTTCAACTAATTGCATTTAACACAACACAGTACTTTTTATTTAATTGCAATAAACAAGCAATTAAGTGTCTGAAAACATATTACATATATTATAAGTTCACACACAGATATATTCTTTTAGGTATATTAAAGTATATTACTTCAATAATAAGTTCTCTTTTTATATGTATATTAAAGTGTGCTCCAAGCAGTCAGATCTCTAAATTCCCAGGCAAATTAAACTTACTTAACTAAATTATAACACTACATGTTATAATATCCATGTTTTTTGTGAATGTCCTTATCGTTGTTGATAAACACTGCTGCTTCTCAGACTGAGGAGGTCACTCCTATTACAGATGAGTAGCCTTAGTCACGGTGAGTGTGTGTGTTTGTGTGTGTGTGTGTGTGTGTGTGTGTGACACTGAAGCTCAGTCATGGTTTCATTTGACCAAGATCAGAATAGTAAACCTAATTTCATTAGGATTTAGCTTGAAGGAATAACTCACCCAAAATGAAAACACTGTCATCATTAACTCACCCTCATGTCAACTCTTTCGTCCATGAAACACAAAAGAAGAATTTTCTCAAGCTGTTTTCCAGAGAAATGGAAATTGTTTATAAGGGCAACTTTTATGGTACTTCAGAGGTTTTTGTGCTTTTTTTTTTTTTTTTATCTTGACAGTGCATGTTTATTATGTGCTTTTGTAAAAGAGCAGCATCAACATTTATTTTTCCACAGAAGAAAGAAAATACAATTTTGAAATTGCATAAGGATGAGTAAATGAGGTCGGTTTTGGGTGAACTGTTTTTTTTATATATAATCTTAGTGTTGACTTTTAGACTTTTAAATATAGAGTGTTTTTTATGTTTTTTGTAACACTGAATAAAAAAATAAAAAAAGGTAATTGCGACTTTTTCTCTCAATTCTGACACAATTAAATTTTTTTCTTAGAATTATGAGTTTATATCTTGCAATTCTGACTCTATAAAAAACAATTGCGAGTTATAACGTCAGAACTGTGAGATATAAACTCGCAATTGTAAGTCTTCCCCCCCTCAGAACTCGACTTTATAACTCGCAATTGCGAGTTTATATCTCACAATTCAGAGAAAAAAGTCAGAATTGCAAGAAAAAGGTCAGAACTGCGAGAAAAAAAGTCAGAATTGCGAGTTTGTATCACACAATTCCGAAAAAAGTCAGAATTACAAGTTTATACCCCACAATTCCGAGAAAAAAGTCAGAATTGCAAGAAAAAAGTCAGAATTCTGAGTTTATATCGCACAATTCCAAGAAAAAAGTCAGAAATGCAAGAAAAAAGTCAGAATTACGAGTTTATATCCCACAATTCTGAGAAAAAAGTCAGAATTGCAAGAAAAAAATCAAGAAAAAAGTCAGAATTACGAGTTTATACCCCACAATTCCGAGAAAAAAGTCAGAATTGCAAGAAAAAAGTCAGAATTCTGAGTTTATATCGCACAATTCCAAGAAAAAAGTCAGAAATGCAAGAAAAAAGTCAGAATTACGAGTTTATATCCCACAATTCTGAGAAAAAAGTCAGAATTGCAAGAAAAAAGTCAGAATTACGAGTTTATACCCCACAATTAAGAGAAAAAAGTCAGAATTGCAAGAAAAAAGTCAGAATTCCGAGTTTATATCCCACAACTCCGAGAAAAAAAAATGTATTGCAAGAAAAAAGTCAGAATTATGAGTTTATATCCCACAATTCCGAGAAAAAAGTCAGAATTCCGAGTTTATATCCCACAATTCTGAGAAAAAAGTCAGAATTCCGAGTTTATATCCCACAATTCCGAGAAAAAAGTCAGAATTCCGAGTTTATTTCCCACAATTCCGAGAAAAAAGTCAGAATTGTGAGAAAAAAAGTCAAGTACCTTTTTATATTTATTCAGTGTCAGAAAACGGGCTTCCATATAGATCTGATGTGGTTTGTAGTGATTTGCTGTGGTTTCAAAGACTTGTGTGTGTGTGTGTGTATGTGTGTGTGTGTGTGTGTGTGTGTGTGTGTGGTAAAAAAGCTCTGCATTGAGATTTGGTTTGAGAGTTTGGTTTATTTTACACACTGTAAAACAATAATCTTTTTGATAACACTTTACAGTAAGGTTGCATTTGTTAACATTAGTTAACTACATTAGTTGTAGCTAACTAACATTAGTTAATTGCGTTTAATTTGGGTTCGCAATCCATATAACTGCATTATTCCATGCGCGTGTTGCTAAAACAGGGCAGAGCGGGTGAGCAGACATCAGAGAGACCAACGGATGACAAGACGGGCTTTTCTGAAGACTACCATCATCATCATCACTACCAAACTCAGAAGCAAGGACGTTTGGAAGACGACAACACTGAGGAGCGAGACGCTAAAGCTAACAACGACCAAAGTGAATGGAGAAGCGGTCACAAACACCACAGCCATCATCATCATCACCACCAACATCACAGTCGCACCACGCGGACGCTTTCCAAACAAGAGACGTCAGAGTCCATGTATCCCGAGCCTCTCGCCGGACAAACGCAGGAAGAGGAACAGCCAAACCATCACCATCATCATCATCATCATCACCTCCGGGGCGACAGAGAGAAGGAATACGACCACAACGAGAGGAACAACTGGCAAAGAGGAAAGCAGAGGTCGCTACGAGAGCCTCATCATGAGCGGGACAGGAAACGAGGAGAGGAGGAATGGGCGAGAGAGCATTACATAGAGCAGTGACACACGTGCCACATACACACCGACCTCAATCTTATGTGTAATGTATACGACACGTGTATCCATACATGACTTTTCCAAGTGTGGACAAATTAAATAAAGACAATTATGTATAATTTAATATGGCATGAATGATGAAATTCTCTTTAATTTTAATTTATTTTTAATTCCTTTCTTTTTTTTCTTTTTACTTGATTTGCTTTCCTGGTCTTATTGAACAAATGATAGATGCATGTTAACCCAAAAGAATATATATATATATATATATATATTTTTTTTTTTATCGGAATCTAATAACTTGCTTTGCCTTTGAAAAAAATCTCGGTTTTCAGCTGATTTTTGGGGCAAAAATGTCACCAAAAGTGATAAAAATGGCTAAATGTGTCCCCATATAGAAATCTGCTGTTTATTTTATCTTATATATTTCTTAAAATTGTACTTTAGGTCAAGTTAATTAGTCAGATTAGTATTATTATTATTTATGGAGGCTTGTCTCCATTTTTTTTATCTCACAATTCTGACTTTTTTTTCCTTTCAATTCTGAAAAAGAAAAGTCAGGAATATAAGATGTAAAAATCGCAAGAAAAAAAAGTCAAAATTATGAAAAAAAAAATTAGTTGCCATTTCCTTTTATATTTTTTATTCTGTGGTCAAAAAAATCGAGTTGCAAGATATTGCAAGAAAAAAGTCAGAATTGTGAGATAAAAAGTTGCAATTACCCTTATTTTTTTTTTATTCCATGGCAGAAACATTCTTCCAAAATTATTATTATTTTGTTGCTATTGAATATTCTGTTCACACACAAAGACGTCATATTACGGTAAAAGAAAGGTTTGAATTCTCGATTGCATCTTCACTGCTGTCTGCGTTTAGTTTTAAAACAGAATAGGATATTTATTTTATGTTGTGTGGATGTCATTTCAAATTGTTATTTAATGTTAATTACTTGTGTGTTAATGTTGCAGAAGTGTGTATTGCCTTGCATATAGGATAAAGACATGACAAAAACCATAGTTTTGATTTACTTCTCCAGCAGTCCTGTGCCGTTTTAAACTACCATCCTGACAAACTGAATAAGACTAAAAAAAATGCCACAGGTAACTTGTTAAATTAAAAGACGACTATTTGAGGTTTGTTTCCACCCGTTTTGTCTTTGAACTGCTAGAGATATGACAGATACTCAGAGTACTTTAGGCTTTTGTTACTGTTACTCATGAACAGTGATGCATTTACGAAGGAACTGCACTGTGGCAAGTGGCTTTAAAAGCAGAAATGTGCAATTTATATTCTGGTAAAAAGGAACTTTCATTAATTTCCCCATACAAAAATGTGTTATTTGAGCTGACAAGCTGTTTAAAATGGTCCTTTTAGCAGTGAGATCTTATAGTCTTGCATATGAATTTCTGGTTATGGATTACTGAATTTCTGTGGGTGGGACCAAAAATGGTTTATTCACACATGGACATTCAGAGACTTGGTCATATCAGTTATGAAAACTGAATTTCCATGATCTTTTGAAATAAAACTGTCAAATATACTATGTGAACATACACTGGCTTGCAGAAACAAGCTTCCCTGTGCAAAAAACAAACAAACACATTTTAACATATAACCAAACACAGAATGGTGAACAATCTGGTTGACTTCTGGCCCTTATTTGAAAACTGATGACAATTGGCAGACTTCAGTTTGAATTTCACTGTTAAAATGCAATCAAAATTACATTCAGAAAGTATAAGAACTTGTTTTGCTATTAATATATAATGAATTGTTGCACTGATATATATTGTGTTTGCATCCCCCATGCATTTTGATGCAGAAATAGAGAATCTGCAGACTTTTGCGCAAGCGAATGAGTAAAGAGTGTTGTCATCCACACAAATTGTGAACCTAAAAATTATAAAGCAATTATTCCGTTTTCGTGAGCTGATTATGCAATTGCAGTCTCACAGTGCTCAATAAGTTGCAAAATATTTATAAAAAAAAAAAAAAAGAGGTATCATAAAAATTTATTAATTTTTATTTTACATACATTGCACAATAAAAAATAACTGAATTTGCACACACAACCCTGTTACTATAAAAGTTTACATCCCCTTGGGTCTTATTATGGTCTGTAGTTTCCGTGAGGATCAGTGACTGTTTGCATGTTTTATGATGAGTCTCTGTGTAGTGAAGCACCTACTGACAATTATGAAAATTATGGCCATTATGAAAAACAAAACAACATTATTTGATGGTCATAAAGGCAACACACTACATTAAACCAGTAAACGTTTGAAAAGGATGATCTATTTAAATACTCATTTTGTTACGTATTTTGGGAAATGTGCAAATATATACATTCTGAAGGGTGTTTATATATTTCCCATATTATTTACACAGATCATCCTATTTAAAAGTTTGCATACCCTTCTGTTTCCTTTCTGAGCATTAAGAAATATGTCTACCCTTTGTCATGCAATTTGTCTCTTTCAAATAAGTGGTTCAGGGATATGAAAACCTGCTGCAGAAACATCACCTGGTATTTTTAAAAATGTCAACGGACCCACAACATATCTTTGTTTCATTCCACCTTTCAGCGGATAAAAGTGCCATATTTCTTCATACTACTTACTACATTTTTATGAATGGTCATGTGACAGACCCGCTCCCAGCATCCCCTCTGATCCTAAAACAGGCATCTGGAAAAGGTGACAAATACATGCTTTCAGTAAAGCCGCGGTCACACTAGATTTTTTGCATGCAAAATATCTACAGACATAGCAATGGTTGTAATATGACGTCACGCTCTGCAGGATCTAATAATAATAATAATGTTTAAAAAGGATTTTCACACCAGAGGCGATGTGAAAAAGCGGAATGAATCGTCCTGATAGGATTATTCACTTTAGGTTTGATGTCCTTTGAGAAAATTGGGTTAGAAAAATGCATGTTTTTTTAGCAGGGTTTTATCCTCACCTGTGGCTCTAGTGTTAAACAGGGGAATGTCTTGAGAGCCCAGGCGACCTGCTCTTCATTCTCCGCAAGCGTCACGGTACAGGTGCTGTACACCAAAACACCTCCTCTTTTTAACAAGCGCACAGCCTGCAAACAAGAGTGTAGAAACAGACACAATCTATAAGCTGTGAAAGACTTGCACTGAAACGAGTACCACATTCTGTTCATTGACTGAAGGAAACATTCACAATAGGTAGTGAACCAAAATGAGATAGACAACTCCAAGCTGTGTTATTAATTATTAAAAACCATTTTCGTTAATTGAAATAAAATATGAATATTAGACAAAAATAAATTAGAAAGTTGCCTTGGTAACTAACTGAAATAAAACAAGTCTAAGTTTAAATGACTAAAGTTAAAATAAAAATAAATTAAGCTATATATATATATATATATATATAGAGAGAGAGAGAGAGAGAGATAGATAGATAGATAGATAAAGCACATAAAATTACTAAAAGAATCTAAAATTAAAATAAACTGAAAATATAAAAATAAAAGCTAATTCAAAATATTCATATTCGAATAATGTGAGTAAATTAATAATATTAAATATCAAAAATATAATAAATTTCCTTTCAATAACAAGTCTTTCATTTTTATTGAAGCTTGTTTCAGCCACAGAATAAAAAAAATTTAAAAAGGTAATTGCGACTTTTAACTTGCAATTCTGAGTTTCTATCTCACAGTTCAGATTGTGAGATAGAAACTCGCAATTCTGAGAAAAAAGTCGGAACTGAAAGATAAAAATATAAAGTGATAATGAGAAGAAATAAGAGGTACCTGAAACTTTTACAAAATATGCACTCAAAATTCACTTCAGTTATATATATATATAGATACACACACACACACACACATATATATATTCATGCGAGGATATGTAATTATAATTTATTAATATATATATATATATATATATACATAATCATTAAGAATGTTCATGTTTTTTAAAGTTTCTTATGCTCATCAAGGCTGCATTTATTTGATCAAAAATACAGAAAAAAAACAGTAAAATTGTAACTGTTTTCTATTTTAATATACTTTAAAAAATAATTGATTGCTGTGATGCAAAGCTGAATTGTCAGCATCATTACTCCAGTCTTCAGTGTCACATGATCCTTCAGAAATCATTCTAATATGCTGATTTATTATTGATGTTAGAAACTTTTTGCTGCTTCATTTATTTTTTTTGGAACCGTGATACTTTTTTCAAGATTCTTTGATGAATAAAAAGTTAAAATACTTACTTTACTTTACTTAAAATAGAAATCTTTTGTAACAATGTACACTACCGTCCAAATGTTTGGGGTCAGCATTTTTTTTCTTCTATTTTTGAAAGAAATTTATACTTTTATTTAGCAAGGATGTGTAAAATTGATTAAAAAAAAAGTGACAGTAAAGACTTATATTGTTACAAAAGGTTTCTGTTTTGAATAAATGCTGTTCTTTCTGTTCATCAAATAATCCAGAAAAAGTATCATGGGTTCCAAAAAAATATTAAGCACCAAAAACTGTTTCCAACATTGATAATAAATCAATATATCAGAATGATTTCTGAAGATCATGTGACACTGAAGACTGGAGTAATGATGCTGAAAATTCAACTTTGATCACAGAAATAAATTATTGTAAAGTATATTAAAATAGAACACTGTTATTTTAAATTGTAATAATATTTCACAATATTAGTTTTTTTCTGTATTTTTGATCAAATAAATGCAGCCTTGTTGAGCATAAAAGACTTCTTTAAAAAAGTAATAAAAATCTTACTGATCCCAAACTTTTGAACGGCAGTGTGTATATATATATATATAATACTTCATATTTTGAATGTTAAAAAAATAATAATATTGCATGTATATCCTCGCATGAAAATATATAAAAACGTTTATCTAGTTAGTATTAACTACTAGTTAATACTTAATTTAGTAATAAATAGTTGCTGGCTGGAGTCTTAAGCCTGTTGAATTTAATAAAATATATTTTGACTGTTTCTTCAGAAAATTAATTGCTCAGTCAAAGCAAGAGTTATAAAGTATCAGCAGCACTGTAATAAACAAAAAAACAACAACAATTAAGTCCAAAAACATTGACAAAGGCGTCCAAAAAAACATGAAACTGCACATGAAAATGTTTTAATGCTAGATTTATTCAAAATAATTAATATTATATAATGTAAAAATTAGGCAACGAAATCAAATGAGATCAAATGCATCTAAATATATCAACACGTTCACATTTTTTACCGTCTGAATCAACAAAAATGAGACTCGTCTTAGACGTCTGAGAGACAACTTACTGCGTGCGACTATCTATGTACTTTAAAGATACCACTATAAAAACCTCAGACATGCTCAAAATATAAGAAAACATGATCCATGAGCCCTGTACTAATAAAATACTTTCACCAGTTAACAGTGAGGTGTGATGAAATCAAGTGGAATTTGTTCCAGTTGGCATAAAACAAAACACTGGCACGCAAACCTAAGAAAAAAAAAGTTAAACACCTCAAAAAAAAGAAAAAGTGCATGGTTAAATCTTGCATTTTAACAGAGTGACTTTGTGATTCTGTATCATATAACCCATTCAAAACACGATGTCTTATTCCAGTGAAGTTAAACAGAGTAAACACGTAATTTTCATATTATTAAAGCTAAAGTTGCATTCTCATAGGGATCCAGGTGAACGGACAGCACTGATTTCTCTCGCCTAAAGGGGGATTTTTAAAAAGGAAATGGTGTCTAATCGTCTTTGTCTTTGGCTCCGTGTTTAAGAATACGGGTGAACTCCACATAGTTGAAGTTGCTCTTTTTATCGATCGGCGCTTCTCTGAAGAGCTCATCGACATCTTCGTCTGTGAATCGATCACCCATAGTGGTCAGCAGCTCTCTCAGGTAGTCCTCCTGAACGAAGCCTGCGAGGAGAAACAATCACAGCTTCATCTTAGTCCAGAGACGGTCTGCTGCTTTGTTAAGAGGAAAGTTTTTCTCAATATTTTAGTTATACTCCGTTATATCTCTGTCCACAACTGCGTAATTCTTCTCACTCAAAAAGATTTATGTATTTAAACTGCATTAGGAAGTTTTAATCTAATAAACCTAATTTGATGCATATTTCTATATTTGTCACTCATACATAAAACAGGTAAGAAACGGGTCGAATTTTGGAATAACGCTAATAAACTGAATGTGTTTTAAATACACAATAACCAGGTTTACGTATTTATCATCAATAAATCCAATTAGTTTCAATCATGTCACCCTGGACCACAAAACCAGTCATAAGGGTCAATTTTTTTAAACTGAGATTAATACAACATCTGAAAGCTGAATAAATAAGCTTTCCATTGATGTATGGTTTGTTAGGATAGGACAATATTTGGCCGAAATTCATGGAACATGATCTTTACTTAATGTCCTAATGATTTTTTGGCATAAAAGAAAAATCGATCATTTTGACCCATATAATGTATTTTGGGCTATTGCTACAAATATACCCCAGCGACTTAAGACCGCTTTTGTGCTCCATGGTCACATTTTATATACAATTCAAATATATAAATCTTATATTTAGGCCTTCATTGGTGCACAATTGTAACAAATTGTGTTGCGTGGATTTGATCCGAGACAATCTGTTCACCTGTTCCTTCCTCGTCAAAGCAGGCAAACGCATTACGGATGACTTCCTCCGGGTCTGTGCCGTTAAGCTTCTCTCCAAACATCGTGAGAAACATTGTGAAGTTTATTGGCCCAGGAGCTTCTGTCATCATTGCCTCCAAATAGTCATCTTTTGGGTTCTTCCCTGAGAGACAGCAGAAAAACACATCCAATCTATTATGCTGTAAAATGACTTGGTCCTCATAATCTCATTTACTTCTCTCTGTGTGTGTGTGTGTGTGTGTAAAGTTATTTATTTATTTTTTGTAGCCCAATGGTCATGAGGCAAGATCCTCAAAAAATTAATTTGCAAAGTTATCACAAATCTGGTTTTTGCTTTTTTATT